GCGCAGTAGCACTGCATGGGTGATCCAAAAAAAAAACTTTTGTGTTACTAAGAATGCCCAAACAAGCTTCGTTTTTATGCAAATTCATTGAGAAAAGCTCAGTATCTGAAAGACGGCTCATTTCCTGGCAACTAAAGCACAAGGATAAGCAAGGCCATTTCATGCTGAAGACTGAAGATTCGATTCTACTGGTAGGACAACCTTTACGATTTATTCATTAGTTTTGATGGTAAATTGGTACCAGCGCATGCCAGTGACTGGGAACCGTCATTAGCTTTGCTTCTGACAAACTCTCACACGTGAGAGCCATCGACAGCCTTGCCAGCTGGTTTCACGTGTTTTGCTTCTAAGAAACTCTCGCACGTTGGAACCATCGACAGCCTTGCCAGCTGGTTTCTCAAGCTGCTCTCGAGTATTTCCACGTTTCATGGAAAGTGAATACGAAGAGGGTTCTGACTGTTTGAAGATTGGCAAGTGCACGTACGCGGACACACCATCATTCATCTGTAACTTGTTTCTTGGAAATCGGTTTCTGGCGATGTATTTGCAAATTAATTTAGATTTTTCGCGTATAAAAACTACTGCGTATTGCCATATGTGAGACGCAGCGGTTTGGAAGACAATATGAACATCTACGAACGGATAACTTTGGTACTCCATGTTAGCCACGATTATCTGGATGATAAAATCCTAGAGCAGGTATTTTTTTAGGCCCTACTTATGCCTGTGCTCACGAGAACGAATCATAAAATCACTTATGATTTAATGTTATTTTTTTCTTTTCTTAAGGAATTGAACTTTCAAAGGTGTTTAACGTGGTAGGAGCAAAATCAACTTTCACATCCTCAGCTCCTCGACTCAAAAAACGTGAAAATTTTCTTCCAATTGACAATGTTTCAACGCAGCTGCTAGATTCAGTGGCATATCTTCTGTCTACAGTTGTGGCAATGGTGCTGATCACTCTTCAAAGAAAAGGGTTAAAAAGGCTTTCGGGTAATTAAACCAAATATTGAATATTTTAGTAGAATTCAGATGTGTAGTTAAATCCAGCTGCTAACTGCATAGGTGCAATGGCTTCTTAAACAAGACTGCAATGGCTTTTTGAAATTCGTCACGAGATTTCATCCTTTTTTTTTTCATTTGCACTTTCAAAGTGCACACAGAGACAGATATTCGCATACACATACACACATTCACAAATACACAAACACACATGCGCACACACAAACATACATATACAAACATTCACATACATATATGCGCGCAAAACCTTTACATACACACACACAAACACGCACACATACAAACATACACCCACATAAAGGACAAAGAAGTCAGATGATGCAAACTTCAGCTGAAACGCAAATCTAGCTAAACAAAGAAATGCAGCAAATCAGAATAACATGATCCCCCTAATTCAATGCGTTTCAGTTTCCACTGGGATGGATTGATAATTTATAAGTAATAACTAAGTTAGTAATGGGAGGTATTAAAACTATGATAGCTGATACAGTAGTATAAAATGACAAGAAGTAAAGAATAAATAAATAATATGAAAGAGAAAATTGAATTGCAAGAATGTTTCGGTCCATTAAGTCGCATACATTCCAAAACAGTACCACAACTGGACCTCTTCACCATGGTGGTTGTGTTTAACAGGACTGTGTTGAACTGCCGGTGCAGTACGAGGTTAAAAATCACAAAAAGGTCAAAACATGCACTACATAGCTTTTCTGCCTTTGTTTTCAACATCATCCAGACAGTAGATATGTAAATTCGTTATACCACCAGCGAGATGGCTGAACTTATTTTTGCTCTTCTTTTTCGATGTTTAACTTAACAAACAAATCTCTCAGCATAGTTTCACCTCCGTCGACATGAAATTCGAAGGTAAGCGCTAAGTTACACTCAAATAAAGTAAATAAACCAACAAGAAAGTGCAATGTTTACAGCTTGAATCATGGGATGGCCCGGTGACGTTGATGGTGGCAATTCCATCGGCACAAATCTACAAAAGGATGCAAAAAATCCAACATACGGTACACGGTCAATTTAACAAATCGCTTTTTGCCACTTGCAATTTCCCAATTATCGCAATAAGGGCAAACTTTCGCTAAGTGAAAACTGATTCATATTAGATTATCGGATGCTGACCTGAATTATCGAATCGGCATGCAATTCACACCGCCTTTTTCAAACTATGCATTTCGTAACTTTTCCAGTTACATTGACCATTGTTGTATAGCCTGGAGTCAGGTTGTTGGCGATTTCAACGTCTTATTGTCTTACTAGAGGATTATCACATAACTGTCCCTCTGACAGAAACATTTTGGTAAGGCTTTGGCTGTTTCAAGTTGTCACTGGTCTCAAAGCTGACACCTTTAGAACACGGTGAGGCACTCAGCAGTAATTTTTCAAATAGTGGAATCTGTTTTTAACAGTTTCAAAGATCAAGTTTTTTTTCCTTAGAACTTTGGAGTGAATGGCCAAAGAGCAAATTTTGCACCAGTAAAAATCCCCGCTAATGGCCTAGTGGATATCCAATAAAATGAATATGCTATATGGTTTAGTGTACTTCAAATATGTCGCAACCTATAAATTTTTTCACAAACAGCCAATTATACCTCAAAATATTAAACGAAATGCTTGTTTTTCAAGTCAGGGAGTTTCTTTTTTCACCAACGAGAAAAGAATGAGGGCAGAAACAAGTCATCGAAATGTGGACTAATGTTCTGAATCCCAAAAGTATAGACTAAATTCTGAAAAAAAGAATTTACAAAATTTCATGAAGCGAATATGCAGGAAAATTTAAATTGATACTACTAAGCACGCAAGAGCAGAATCTTCGAGTTGAATCGTTTTTAAGCAAATCGTGAAAAGCAGTACCACTATTCAGTTATAATTCCTTGGTTGCAGCTATCGCAGTTCCCGTTGCTGATCCAGCACAAACTGAGCGCGCATGTGCTGTTCCGCTCGGATAATGGATGCGATAAAGATGTAGTGGGCGAACTCAACGAAACCGAAAGTACTTGGAAGTACCCGGTGAATGTAGTACGTAACGCTGCAAGGATGGTAGGTAGGAAATGCACTGAAGAGGGAAATACCCATTTTAACTGTTCAGGAATCGTCGGTCCCAAAACATAGACCAGACATCTGTGTGCCTGGAATTACAATCCTGAAAAACTTATCAACTTCCAGTCTTTTCAAAATACAGTAGTTGTGGATTGCCCCCTGTGCGTGAGATAGATGACTGATGGTTGCCACGATTTTGTAAACATCATTGCTTACAGTATCCATATGTACACATATTCAACAAAGACCGCATGTGAGCAATGTTCAGCCAGGAAATTCACACAAACGCTTGTTTTTACATGCGAAACTGTAAAAATCACTATTTCAAGACCGCCCGAAATTTCAGTATTGGTATTTATGTTATTGATGTTACAGGGATGTTCCCACAGCTTTGTAGGCTTTCAGTTCTAGGCTCCACTCCTCTGTTTAGTAAAAAAATGGAAAGGGCAAAGAATACTATTTGGAAAATTACATTTTCAGTTCGTACGGTCAAAATACGTGTTAATCGGTGATTCGGAATTCGCGTTCCCGAGAGGATTTGAATCAAGGATGCGTGTGCTGGCACGTGAGCAGCTGGCCTACAATCCTAAAACAGCACTAGTAGTGCGAATATTCGAAGTGGATGATGCCATCAAAGAGCAAGTCTTTCTGACTTACGCCAAAACAAAAGCCAAAAGCCTCCCCAAATTTCTGTGAGAAGGAACTCGGGAAGTCAC